GGGATATGCAGACCTGTGAGAGAGCCCGAAGGAACTGCCGGACAGGGAAGAGTGGTGGAACTGCGGGCGACTACCGGACCGCCGGAGGGGTCAGCAAGAGAAACAACGGCAGGAACAGGAAGCGGCGTCAGTGTAGTGAAGTCGCGGAAGAAGCACCGGGAAGCGCCAGAGTCCAAGGTGAAGGAAAGCGAAGCAGTGGCGTCCGGCGACGGGGCGACCGCGGAGGCACCTTGGCTAAACAAAGCAGGGACTTCTACTCCTGACGCAGCAGGGAAGGCTAAGCTAGGCCTACCTACACTTGACGACAATGAGTAATAAGCGGGAAGCACACTAGAGTCATCAGCATACATGACATGCAGAGCAGAAACAATAGCATCCATGTCCAAGTCAAAAATCGGAATACTACGACGAAGCAAGCTGTGCCAGTCCGGGAGGTGTGGCAACGGGCCGAATCGCTGACGAAACAAGTCATCCAGGCGACGAAAGCAGCGAGGAGTGGTATGACCGGTCTTACCGCAAATGAAGTCGCGGCGAGGACCGGTCTGGATCTGGTACTGGCAACGCACGCCTCCCGAACCACCACCCGGTACACCACCACGCGCAGGACCACCTCCAGCTCCAGGCCACCCGGGCGGGAGGACACTCGCCTGCCTCGTCTGCGGCGGCTGCTGCGACGGCTGCGGCTGCTGTTGCGACTGTGGAGGCGGCGGCTCAGCTGGACCGAGCAGGGTCCCCTCGTCCGCTCCAGCACCAGAAGACCCGACTCCACCACCACCCCCACCTTCACCCCCTCCTCCGCCGCCGCGCCCAGCCTTAGGGCGGCGGCCCTTCCCCGGACGGAACTGCACGGCAGCAGCAGTCTGAGCCACAGCGGCAGAACCGTCGGAGAAGGTACACTGAGCGGGGGCACAACCCTGAAAGATAGGGACCGGCACGGTACCGCTCGCCTGGGCGATGGAGCGGTGGCGGGTCTCAATCACAGTCAGGGTGTCTACAAAGTCAGTGAGGGTGAGCTCACCGGGGTGAATGCTAAGGAAGCGGTCGCGGGCGGCAGCAAGGCGGTCAGGGAGGCGGGTGGCAAGCAGGTAGAGGGTAGAGGTAATGGGCGGCTGGTGGGCTCTAAGCTGTGCGTCAGTGCAGGCTGCGCGCCAGGTCTCATCTATCGTGCGCAGGTGGGCAGCCAAGTCAGCGACAGTGGGGAAGGACGCAAGATCAGGAAAGAGCAGCGGGAGGATCAGGCGACCCACCGAGGCAGCAGGAGGGGTGGAGTAGCGCTGGAGGACAGAGTGAGGGACCTAAAGCGAGGGCGTTCAGACGGGGGAAGGGCATTGCTAATGGCAAGCTGGGCGACAGCGTCTCGGGAAAGCCAGACAGAGCGCGCAAGGGCAGCGGCTGCAGCAGACTCGCGCTCAGCGGGTGTTGGGTCAGCGGGCAGCACAGCAGGGGGGTATGGGCAGGGGAGCATACCGTCAAGGTGTGCAGAAAGCGGGTGGCCATCCTGCCGCTGGCCAGTGAGGTGGCGACGGAGGTCGGCGAGCCACGCCTCGAACTCCAGAGGTTGGCCTTCCGCGTCGAAGCGAAGCTCTGCCGCCATCAGGAGCAGTGCAGGACTATACAGTGCGATACAAGGCAGTGCAGTGCGGTGAAGTGCGTTGCAGCGCGGTGCAGTGCGGTGCAGGGCGGTGCAGTGCGGTACCGTGCGGTGCAGCGCGGTACCGTGCGGTGCAGTGCGGTGTAGGGCGGTGCAGTGCGGTGCAGTACAGTATAGTGCGGTACAGGTGATGGGGAACCGTACCAGGGAGGGTGCAGGGCCGGAGCAGGCACGACGAGCTAGCCGCACACAGCTCGGGGCAGGACGGGCGCGGGCGCCAGTTGGGACAGGTGCGGGGCAGGCCGGGACGGGTGCGGGGCCAGCGGGGACGAGCGCGGGGCCGGCTGGGATAGGCGCGGGCCTGCTGGAACGGGCGCGGGTCGGCTGGGACGGGCGCGGGGCCGGCTGGGACGGGCGCGGGGCCTGCTGGGACGGGCGCGGGCCGGCTGGGACGGGCGCGGGTCGACCGGGACGGACGCGGGCCGGCTGGGACGGGTGCAGGGGCCGAGCGGTAGCGCGGGGGCCGCTAGGGCAAGCGCAGGGGCGGCTAGGGCGGGCGCGAGGGGCCGCTAGGGCGGGCGCGAGGGGCCGCTTGGGCGGGTGCGAGGGGCCGCTAGGGCGAGCACGGGGAGGCCGCTAGGGCGGGCACGAGGGGCCGGCTAGGGCGGGCGCTAGGGCGGGCACGGGCGAAGGGGCCGCTAGGGCGGGCACGGGCGAAGGGGCCGCTAGGGCGGGCACGGGCGTGGGGCCGCGAGGGCGGGCGCGAGGGGCCGCTAGGGCGAGCGCGGGGAGGCCGCTAGGGCGGGCGCTAGGGCAGGCACGGGGGGCCGCTAGGGCGGGCGCTAGGACGGGCACGAGGGGCCGCTAGGACGGGCACGAGGGGCCGCTAGGGCGGGTGTGGAGGCCGCTAGGGCGGGCGCTAGGGCGGGTGCTAGGACGGGCGCTCGGGCGGGCGCTAGGCCGGCTAGGACGGGCGCTAGGGCCGAGGGGAGGTGGCGCGCAGGGCGCGACTAGGGCGGGCGCAGCTAGGGCGGGTGCGACTGGGGCGGGGAGGTCCTAGAGCGGAAGCGTGGGTGAGCGGGACCTACCTACTGCTGATACCATCTTAGAAACTGAAAGAATGAGTCGAGAGAGAGAGAGAGTACAGGAATATATCTAAGTGTTATACCCTCTAAGAGATGACCCTATACAGTCTATGCAAAGTATAAAAGGTACACATGTTTGACAAGAATAGCAATTGGAGGGGGAAGGGGGAATCGAAATTGGAGGGGGAAGGGGGAATCGAAATTGGAGGGTGGAGGGGGGAAGGGGGAATCGCAATTGGAGGGGGAGGGGGAATCGCGATTGGAGGGGGGAGGGGGGAATCGCAATTGGAGGGGGAGGGGGAATCGTAATTGGAGGGGGAGGGGGATCGAAATCCTGGGGTGAGCCAAATCTGTACACAATTGTGATCGAGGCCGGATTCAAATGTTTTTAAGGGTTTGGGCGAGTTAGCGGCTAAGTAGCTCAGTTTATTAGGTTACCCTCTTTCAAATGTTTTTGATTTGAAAACAGCAACCACAAATGTAGACACGGGCTTTAAGTCGTTGACCCATAATGCATTCTTTTGCTTTCAAGATTAATAATCTTGAATGGCGAAAAAAGGGTAGCCGTGTTTCGGGTAAATCCGTGCCAGTCGGACTGACGAGTGCATGGAGGCCTCTGACAAATGGGCGGTTCACTGGACGTCATGTGTACTTCACTGCATTCACGTCCCCCCCATCCCCGTTTCCCCCCCGCCCCCCGTTTGAGTCTGCAATTGGCAACTTTTGTTTGTGCGCCCCCCCCCCGTTTCCTCCCCTCACGGTTTGAGTTTGCAATTTGCGACTTCTGTTTGTGCTGCCCCCCCCCCCTCCCCCCCCTCCTCCCCCCGCCGTTTCCCCTGCGCCCCCTTTCGAGTCTGCAATTATCTGCAAAAATGAACTTTTTTCTGTATTCCCCCCCGTCCCCCGCTAGTCTTTCATTTTCCCTGCGCAACCCTTCCCTTGTCCCCCGTTCCCAAGCATGTTCCCACGGATGTTTTGTCAATCCTTTCACACACGCTCTTTGAGCTTCATTACAAGGGCAAACGAACCTAAGCGTACCTTATATACTGTAATTGTTAGCACCCAACTTCCTCCTGCCCCGAATCCTCACGTTTGGAAGTCCCCCTACCAAAATCCCCCCGAAACCAAGGCCCTGATCGGTTGGCCGTATTCTAGAATGAGGATGGTGTCGAGCAATTTCTCAGGGCTGGCTCGGAATAGGCTTAAAGCCAATCAATTATTTTAATCACACCAAACCTCCTGGAATAGAGGTGTGTACCGATCACCAGAATAAGGAAGGCTGGAATACGGAATGAGGAAAGGGCACCTGGCTGCAGACTCAGGCGAAATCATGCCAGCAGCTGGTCGATGTGTATTCCAGCTTTTTTTCAGGAATAGCTGGGAATAGTGAAGAGTCGGGCAATCCAGACGCAATAACTAATGCCCTTATTTCGGAAACGGGAAACGTTGAATACCCAATACCAGCCTGTGTCTGACCGCCAAGAAAACAAATCCAGGGTCACATTTCGATATCAAGCCAGATGCAGGGCCCCAGATGCACAATTTGAAGCCCTGTTTCCCCTTTCCCTTTTGTTTTTCGTGACCAAGATCGTGGCGGGCAAGTTTGGAAATTTGCCAGCTCAGACGCGTCACTTACATCATGCAATTTCGCACATTAACAGCCCAGCTTCTCGCCGTCACCTAGCCTGGCGAGTCAACGCGCGGAATACGGAAAGCTCGCAGCGGATTCCATATTCCGAATTCTTCATTCCAGAATATCGGCTTACCGATCAGGGCCCAAATGACCACAACCTGCTGAGCTGTTTCCCTGCTCCTTCCATGCCAAACGTTCGGAGGTGAGCCCGCCCGCACTTCCCGCTCTCTATCGCAGCAGCGCGGCAGCCGGTTTTATTTCCAACACGGCACACATGCAGCTCACCCACTCCTAAGGGAGAATCCTGGAGCGAGTGTCAGGTCCTAAGCAGACCCGCGGTTGAAGGAGCCGCGGGCTGTCAGAACCTAACTGCGGGTTTTATATTATTGACGGTGCAGCGGCTGAACAGTCGTGAACAGTCGCAAAAAGAGGGTTGCGACTACAGTGGCCGAACTTTACGAGTCTACCAGAAATGTTCGAGTTGCTGATTGGTGGAAGTTCATTTGCACGAAATTATTCGTTGTTCGCTTTGTCAGCTGACTGGCTAAAGCCGTCAGTTTTTCGCAAGACCCAAGGCAAATTTGTTCCAGCCTCGGATCTTCCTGCTAAACCCTCGGGTCTAACACTCGCTGCGGAATCCTCAATGTGACTCGCACGAACCCTTGATGGCATCTGTGACCCGTCCCATTGTCACCATGAGCCAACGCAAGCTACCACCAGTGCTTGCCCAAACTCCGAAGTGCTACTACTAGCTTGTAGGATTTACTTTGCATAGGATTGACACAGCTTGAATAGAGTGACCCCAGTGTGGGAGTAGTGTATGCCAGCTGACGTTCCGTTCTGTTTCCTCATCTTATCCTGTTATGGCTCGCCCTGTGATGCTTGCGTTCGCCGTCGCTGCGGCTGTCGTCGTCGTTTGTCTCTACTCCTTGTCTCCGGTCGCTGCATCTCCCGTCGCTGGAGGCTGGTCTGCCGTCAAGGGTGCATATAAAGTAAAAGAAGTGCAGGACTTGGCCAAATTCGCTGTCAAAACACATAACAATGAAAAGGTGCGGCGAGTACGTCTATTGCGTTTTGTTTGAATCTCAGCGTTTTGAGTACGTCTTTTAGTCGTGCCCTTTCTCGCTTCTCCAATTCGCATCACTTTCCGTCCCTGAGGGAAATGGGCGAGAACATACTGGTTTGTTTAAAGCCCGCGTCTCATATTTCCTAAGGTAATACGCTTGGTACTAGGTAACGTAGCTGCTCTTTGTGCGAGGGCTCGCAAGTGAGTGCGAGAGTAGATACCCAACCTCAGCATAGCGAACCCAATAGCGCGTTCTTAGTAAGCGAGGTTTCGGAACCTGGGCTGGGTACACGGAATCAGGACCCGAAAGTGACTCAAGCAACCATTTTTGGGCCCAAAATCAACACTGGAATTGCAACTTCTTGCGAAACTTTGAGCATTCAAGCCCCACCATTTACGCCCTCAACGTTTCGTGGGCTCAAACCAAAGGTAATACGAGTCCGCAGAAATACGAGACTAGAAGCCTCATCAAAGTTGGACCTTCCACGATATTCAAAATTGTCGCAACCCTCGCCCACTCTCTCTCTCTCTCTCTCTCTCTCTCTCTCTCTCTCTCTCTCTCTCTCTCTCTCTCTCTCTCTCTCTCTCTCTCTCTCTCTCGCTCTCGCTCTCGCTCTCTCTCTCTCTCTCTCTCTCTCTCTCTCTCTCTCTCTCTCTCTCTCTCTCTCTCTCTCTCTCTCTCTCGCTCTCGCTCTCGCTCTCTCTCTCTCTCTCTCTCTCGCTCTCTCTCTGTATCTCTAGTTCACAGTCAGGCAGACACCCTTTCTTTCTCCCTCTTTTTGTTGTCTCATCCTTGTCCGTCCTCCCTCTACTGTCTTTTCATTCCCGCCATGACTGTTCTCATCCCCATTCTTTCATCATGCTAGAACACGAACCTCCAGTATCACTCTGTGAAAGCTGCATGGCGCCAAGTGGTGGCTGGCCTCAAGTGGAGGATCGAGCTCCGTGCATTCGACCCTGCACGTGCCACAAAGGGGCGTGTGCCTGCCTTATATGTGGCGGAGATCTGGGAGAAGCCATGGGAAGACTTTCGCCAGCTGCTCACTTTCAAGGAGGCGACTAACTAGAAACAGCGCAACACCCTGGATTGAAAGCCTCAGAAAGGCAGAGGAGCTGGTTACTTTCAAGTCCAGGGCCCAGGGCAATTGAGAAGTTATGAGATCTGCAGCTGCTGCGTATGCTGACCGAGTGGATTGGGTTAGAGCAAGCCATTTCCAGTGTATTGGGACAGAAATGAGATTTTGATGCCATGTTTAGGCAGCTTTAGGAAAGAGGCATTGTGTCTTCTCCGCCAGGCTGTATCATGGGGTGACTCTTGGACTATTTGATGGTTGGACCGTCTAGAGGTTTTCTCTGGGAAACTATTGTTTGGTGTGTATAGTTTTGAGAATTTTCCTGAGTTCATGCTGGTGTTCTTACTGAGGACCCCCATAACGTGGTCAGTACCTTGTCCCTAAACCTGACTGGCTCCACCAAACCCCCTCCGCCCAACTTCGCGCTGTTCCTTCTCCCTCCAACCGCCCAACCTTCCCCCGCGCGCGCGGCTGCTACCATACCGGGCGCTTACATCCACCGCCAGACAAACCCATCCACTTCTAGCAGGTCCCTTGTTGCGTTAGGGCGTGCTGCATTGAGCTGCGTTTTGAAAGTTGCGCAACTAGTTGCGGTTTTGACGAACATTGTGGGACGTAAAGAGACCAGCGAGGTGTTTGCGAAAACTGTAACCAGACCAAGCTGCGTAACTCAGGCGCTTTGCGCAACCACCACAGGGTTAGGGCGGGTCCTGCGTGCAAATATTCTCGTTATTGGTTTCTCGTTGTTCAGCGTTACTTGTTCAAATTGCATCTCAGGACACGCCCTTACGTGCCACAGTCACACATTCCCCGTGACCCTGTTCGGACTTCCCATTCCCAAGGGACGCGCCCAGTTTCCCCCCCACACCAAACCAACCAGCGCGGGCAACTCTCCCGTGCCTCTGTCCGCATGCGCCGACCAACACGCCACGCCCAACACCGCTCTCTTGATCCCATTCTCCGCCATGCGCGCCACACCGCGCCGCAATAAGCGGTCGTGAGTAACCACTGGAGCGATTGCTGCTGCGTTCGAGGCACTTCCATAGCAGCTCGAGCTGCGTGTACGTTAGTGCATTCGCTAGCCGTTGGCGTTGGGTGCTGCCGGAAAGACCGCAACTCACTGCTGACTGCTGACTGCGACGCCTTTGAGCTCCCCGCCTCCCCTCCATCCGTCCCCCATCCCCTCCTCCGCATTGTCGCTTCGCCCTTCGTCCATCTTTGACTCGCTCACCCTCTCTATCGCGTGCGCGTGCTCCCGTTGTCCGCTTATCGCATTCTGTCCGACTCGCACATGGAGCCTGATGCGCTCAGCCAATCCTCGCAGCACATCCCTCAACCCAGCGACCCCTCACTAGTATCGCACGACTCGCAACACATCGCACACAGTCACGCGCACAGCCATTCGCATTCGCATGCGCACGACCACGCCCATGGCGGCCTCGCGCAGTCGTCGCTCCCGTCGCTGCCGCACCGCCTGCACCCCCCGCACCCGTCGCAGGAGGACGCGTCCCCGCCGCTCCCCGTGAAGGCGGGTCGACTCTCGTCGCTGGGCCACGCCGCGTGCAGCTCCAGCTGCCTCGCCGACATGCGCGCCGCCTCCCCCCCGCGCGCCCGCGCGCACAGCTCCTCCTCCGACGACGCGCTGCTGCGACACTCCGCGGGAGCGGAGGAGGCGGACGGCGCGGAGGCGGGGGTGCTGCGGGAGGGGGAGGAGGGCGCGGAGGGGGTGGTGGTGGTGGGCGATGGCGTGGTGGTGGACGTGGAGCGAGTGCGGCAGGCGCAGTACGACGCCTGGCTGGTACCGCGGGGAGGGCGTCTGATGCGCGGACGGGGAGGGTGGGGAGGAGGGGGAAAGAGGTGGCGACTAGGGTTAAGGGGAAACGAGAGACGGGGAAGAGACGTGTATGAGTTCCTGCCAGCTAGCCCCAGTCACAGCCATACTCTCTCCTCCCTTACCTCTCTTTTTCCCCACCCCTCCCGTTTCTTACCCCTACCTCCCGTTCCACCCATTGTCGTCCGCACCCCTCATCCTTCCCACTCCACCTCAAATTGAGCGCCTTTCTCACCACATACGTCCACCCACCCCGCATTCACCCCGTTCTCTCTCCCAACCCCCCTCCGCCTATTTCCCCCACCCCGCCGTCCGCCCCCCTGTCTCCCCCAGGAGGAGCACCCGTCGGCGGTGGCGCAGTTTGAGCGGGTGGCGGGCGCGGTGGGCGCGCGGCAGGTGGCACTGTTCCTGGACTACGACGGCACGCTGGCGCCCATCGTCGACAACCCCGACCACGCCTTCATGCCGTCCGGGGTGAGGCTCGTGGGGGGAGGGCGGAGTGGGGGAGTGGGAGGGGGAGGGGGATTGGAGGGTGTGGGTGCGGAGCGGTAGGGGGCCTGGGGTTTGGGGGAGGGGAGGTGGGGGGTAAGCCTGAGTCGGCTCTCACGTGGGAAGGGGACACTGTCCTGTGTGATTTGTTGCTTGCAGGCGAGCGCCCACGCATGCGTAGAGCAGGAATGAACTAACACTGCACCCCAGATCGCGGTTGTGTGCCTAGGTCTCATGTTCACGTGCATGCGTGCAAGTGTGCATCAGTGGAGTGAGCAAGCTCGATTCCTTCCTCCTTTTCCCCCCGCACCCCCCCTGATGGCGCGGTGCCGCGAGCAGATGCGGGCGGCGGTGAGGGAGGCGGCGCGGCACTTCCCCACGGCCATCATCAGCGGGCGCGGCCGCGAGAAGGTGTACGAGTTTGTGCAGCTGCCCGAGCTCTACTACGCGGGCAGCCACGGCATGGACATCATGCTGCCCGCACACGCGCCCCCCTCCGCGCCAACCCCTTCCCCTACCGCTGCGTCTGCACCTGCCCCTTCCTCTGCTGCTCCACACGATGTGCCGGCTGATGGGCGGCAAGAGAATGGCGCGCTGGGCGTGACTATAACGGGCGACAGGTGCACGGATGCTAATGTGAGCAGAATGGGGTGGGGTGAAGATGGGTGCTAGTTGGCGGGGTGCGTGCCAGGGTGGATGTGTGGGTTACGGAGTGCTAGTGGTGTGTGTGGTAGTATGTGTATGCATGTGTATGCATGCGCGTGCATGTGTGCACTTGTGCTTGAGTTGAAGAATGGTAGACGGGGAAGCACGCCCTGTGCATCCGCATCTGTTGCCTTGGAGATATTCCCCTCTCTACATCGTCTGCACAATCCTCCCCTCGTTGCTGCTCGCTCCAATCTATGCGCTCATCCCCTCTCTCTCCACCGCCCCACATGCCACCAGAACCACGAGGTGGTGGTCTTCCAGCCCGCCAGCGATTTTGCGCAGCTCATGGGTCAGGTGTGCAGCTCATGGGTCAGGTGCGCAGCTCATGGGTCAGGTGTGCTACACATGCCATCGCATGTCTGCTCTAGTAGCTTGGAGCGTTGGGTTGAGTCCCTTGTCCTTGAGTCCTTGTGCTGCCGGATGTGGGGCTCAGGAGGTACCTGCAACTGCATTCGCAGCCATGGCCTTGCCAGGAGCAGCTCCTTTGCTCCCACGTTCTCCCTCATCATCCTCTGGCCTTCCCAAATCACCCCCCTTCCCTTTCCTCTTCACCTCCAGCTCCCCTGTAGCCTGCACCTGTGCTCGCGCCTTCTCGCATGGCTGCATGCCTGCAGCCCCCGTCCCGTTGCCATTGACTCGGCCTTCCTCTGTGCATGCGTGTGCGTGCATGCGCGTGTGTGCTGCAACGGTGCGGCGTGCAGGTGTACGGCGAGCTGGTGCACGTGACGGCGGGCGTGGCGGGGTCGCTGGTGGAGAACAACAAGTTCGCTGTCACCGTGCACTTCAGACGCGTGGCTGAGGAGGTGCGCGCTGCCGCGCTCCACAGGCTTACGCAGAGGGAAAGATGCAGAGGGAGAGACAAGGGACGGAGGGGTGTGGGGAGAGATACCCGGGATAAGGATGTGGCACAATGAGTTGGGGGGGAGTGGGGAAGAGAGGCTTAGGAGGAACAGGAACGTTGAGAAAGGGGAGGGAGGGGAGGACCATGTGTGACTCTGCTTGCACCTGAACCAGGGGGTCATCAGAAGAAGTCAACTTCACTGTCTATTTTCGTCCTGTCCTTCCTTGTCTGCTCTCTCACTTGGGTCCTCCTCCCTCACTCCCTCCCTACCCCTCTCCCACCCCCTATCTCCGTCCCTCCTTCCCTGCCGGCCGTTCTCGCAGTGTTGGGAGCACCTGGCGGGGCTGGTGGAGCACGTGGTGCAGCAGCACCCGCGCCTGAGACTCTCACACGGCAGAAAGGTGACAGGGGGGGCACACCAGCGACCAGGGGGCACAGCAGTTGCCTGCTTGGTTGAGCTAGCCTTGGTTGCCGCGCCTCGCTTGTGACAGCCATTCTGCCTGCTCGCAGTCCTCCAAGCTGTGTGTGCCGCACCCATCCCCATCCTCATCCCCATCCCCATCTACATGCTCGTGACTGGTTGTGCGGTGTGCATGGCAGGTGTTTGAGGTGCGCCCTGTGGTGGACTGGGACAAGGGCAAGGCCGTACAGTACCTGCTCACCACACTCGGTGCGATGACATGCCATGCCATGTCGCACATCTTCCCACACTGCTAGATGTATTTATCACGTACTGTATTTTTTATCCCGGGTACATTACATTAGTAAGTCCGTGCACGTGTGGTGGGGGCATATTCTCGTGTGCACTGAGGATGGACCTTGTGCTTGAGCTGTCTTGTGTGCGGGGCGGGCAGTGTGCCTCGCTGCATGTCTCATCAGCAAACTCTTGCTCTTTCTGCCTCCCTTCCGTCACAACCCTATCCCGTCCTTCCCTCCATATGGGATGGCTTCTGCCAGGCCTTAACAACTCATCTGCAGTCATGCCAGTGTACATTGGGGACGACCGGACGGATGAGGATGCATTTCAGGTAGTATGGTTCAGATGCGGTGTGCACACTGCATCGCTGGGTGTATGGCAGTGGAAAGGGACGCTGCTCTGTTTCCATGACATGCGCCCACTACAGAGTCTCTTCCAGAACGTACATGTACAGCATATGTTGCCTCTCCCACCAGCTGATTCAGTTGTTTCTCTCCAGTAGCCTCTCCTCTATTTGTTCATGCCACTGTTTCCCAAGAGCAGATGCTTCAGGAGAGAGGTTCAGGCTTAGGCATCATCGTGTCTGCAGCTGCGAAATCATCTGTGGCTTCCTATTCTTTGCGAGACCCTTCAGAGGTACGCTTCTGTGTCTTTCTCGTACTCTTGCCTGCCCCGTTCACATTCGCTACCAATCTGGCCATGTTCAAGAAGTGGGCATCTGCATGTGGCACTTCAATTCGCATTTGCCTTGCAACGAACAGTGGGGTATCAATTGCAACGTATAGCATGTGTCATGATACAAATGGCGTATACTTGATTGACCATCTAACTCATTTTGTTTCAGGTCCTGGATTTTCTCCATAAACTAGTGCGCTGGAAGGAGGGAAGCGGTTCTCTTAGATGATACAGACAGGCGTAAATTCCTTGTTCCCCAATGACTCCACATGTTGGCTCTATGGATATGCGGGTTATTGCAAGATGTGGATAATGCGCATATTTGTTTCCTGTCTTCACGCTGCAGCACCTGTTCTGTGTAAATCTAAAGCCAAGTGGCGCGCCCACGCAAGTCAAACCTAGGCGTGATAGATACCGTAAACGCCCGGATATAAGACCGGTTTTATTGAAGACCCATAGGGAGTTTTTGGCGGGTAGGTCTTTTATTATGGTCATCGACTAACAAGACCCTCCCTAAAAGCTGTAGATGGGTTTGGACCCCCCTACTCGGTTTTTTTCATGAATTCAAGCCTAAAATTGTGCACTACAATAACAACTTCCTACTGGTACATGGCACATTTAGTTAGGGAACCAGTCAGCACCTAAAACACGAGATTATTGCACTACCACATACCGGTACTACATATTCAGCGGGCTATACAAGACTGTCGGAATACCCTCTACGCCTACAGCATCTTCCACGCCCACTCGTAGTTGCCGCACGTTACAGGCTCTGGCTCTTCATCCTCATGGTCGTCATCAGTATCTTCAGCACTAGAGTCGCCATAGTCTTCCTCCATGGCAGAGATGCGTTGTGCCAGCGTTATGTGAGGCAGTGGCTCGAATGCGTCAGCAGCAGGCTCTGGTTCAGCGACTGACGCTGGTGGCTCTTCCGCCAAGTTTTGAAACAGGTCGCAGGCCAGAATGTCTTCAGGCACCGCAGGGTCCAGCAACGGCTCATCGTCGTCGTCTGCACCACCATCGTCGTCGTCGGCAGCATCGTCTTCATCCTCGTCAGCGTTCTGCGGGACAGCGGTGTTGTCGCCATCCGCCCCCGCCGCGCCGACATCGTCGTTGACGTCGACTTCGTCAGGGGCCTGCTACTTGAGATGGCGGAGGATCATATGGTCCTCCGAACCATCCAGTGCGTTGGAGATGCCGGTGACTTTGAACGCTTTCTGGATAAGCGCCACTGGCACCTTCGCCCAAGATCTTCCCACCCAGCGAATAACCTCCTCGGGGGGAGGCTTCTTCAGGTTCCCTACGGTGCGGGGGAGGAGTGCGTTAGTACTTGTTGAAAACACATCAAGTGTAAGCATCTCATGAGTGGTGCTTGACTGTGAGCATATGGATTTGCGCATTCTCACCGGCTCTGGTGAAAGTGTTGACGCCGACAGTGGCGAACCAATCTTCATACTCTGCCCGCACGGAAGCTTTGAATGACTTGAACACACACACATCGAGAGGCTGTAGAACCGAGGTGCACCCAGCCGGAATGATGGCGGGAGTCATCTTGAACAGGCGCATAGTCTGCTTGACTCCCTCCGTCAAGTGCCCCCGAAACGAGTCGAGCACGACCAGGCTGGGGAGCGACATGTGGTGCAAGGACTCGGGTTATCCAGTCCTGCACCATATGCTCGTCCATCCAACCTCTCGGCTGCGCACGGATGATGACATCTGTGCAGACAAGGTAAACATCATTAAAATTAGGGCGCATGGCGTTGTCATGAAATGAAGAACATGTCGACCCCGCATGGTAACAAAAAACGCGTCAACTTACTCGATGGGACTGGGATGGAAGGCGGGCGGACGCGCTTGAAGACGACGTACGCGGGCAGCTTCTGCCCCGCAGCCGTGCATGCCAGCATGACGGTTACACGCTCTTTTTCGTAACCGGCGGTCCTGACGTGCACGGTTTTGATACCCCTGTGCTCGACCGTGCGCTCGGTTGGCATTTCCAGGAATAACGCCGTCTGTTCGGCGTTGATCATGAGGGTGTTGGGGATGGCCCTGTTGAATATCTGCTTGCGGCAGAAGCGCCAGAAACTCTGGGCCTTCGGCTTGATATCTGCCAGACATGGGAGGCACGGGGAAGGACGGAAGACGAGTAAGCATTAGGCCGTTGCAAAAGGACAGAAGCGAAAGATGCAGTAGCACCATGGAAAACACGTGCAATATTAAACTGAGGAGAGAATTCGAATTCGAGTGGTGAACTCACCGTCGGCCAGGCGTTGGCCAATCTTAGTCTTTACCCTTACTGACAGACCCCACCGTGCACGCATGCGCTGAGACCATCGAGAAGATGCCTTCTAGTCGACTGATGGGTGGTTCTTGGCCATGTAGTTCAGGCTCCAGCGACGGATGAGGTTGACCGACACGGGAAGCCCGAGGGTCCGATGATGTAGCAGCTTCCTGTATACCCAAATTTCCATGTCTGCGTACAGCGACCGTCGCCCGCCGCCATGGAGCCGCTTACGGCAGGTCGCAGCTTTCTCGAGTCGCGGGTGGTCTTTGATCCACCTGCGCACGCAAACAGGCTGGACACCCGCCTTTTTAGCGGTGGCACGAGTGGAGAGCTGGTTAGCATCCATGTATTCCAACCACGCCAGCTTCTCCTTCACGGTTCTCGCGCGCCGAAGACCTTTCGAGGCGCGGGACCTTGGCGAGGGGGGGGATGCGTTGTGGTTAACCTCCCAGTCCTCGCGTGACCTGCGTCCAGTCGGGTAAGAGGGGATAGGAATCTGGGGCTCGCCGTCGTCAAACATGTTTTCAGCTTCAACAGAGTTATCGGCAGCACCCACGCCCGTCGCATCCTCGGCATCGCCCTCGTCGAAGACGCCGTCGAAATTCGCGCAAGGATCGGGCCAGTCTTGGTCATGATAACGCAAGGCCAAAGGAAGGTTGGGAGGCGCCGGTGGCGCTGGCGGGGCAGGTGGCGCTGGCGGTGCCGGAGGTGCGGGAGGAGCGGGAGGCGCTGGTGCGGCATAAACCCATCGGTCAAGCGTCTGTGAGCGTGGGTTATGGCCCTTGATAATGGCCGCAAGCCCACTCCTGGTCACTGGAGGCATTGCGCTGGAGGCTGAGCTAAGTTGGTGCCGACAGTCGCGAATTCACACCAGGATCCCACGACATGGGTGCCATAAATCCAGACGACGATACTGGCGTACGAGTCGCAGAAAGCGACAGCTCTGTAAGCGAGAGAACGATGTGCCTGAGTGAAGACGGCTTGGTAGATTGCAAGCATTAGCCAGCAAGGCCCGTGAGAGATGGCGAGCGAGCTGGACGTGACTCTAGTCTCGTTCCCTCCAAAAGGCCACCACGTTCAAGGCAAGAGAGTCATGGGAGGGAAGCACTCCTCCCGCCCCCTCGACGCAGACGCATGGGACCACTTCAGTTGTGCCCCGCCACAAGACCAGGAATCTTTTCTCTCGGCCGTCGATGCGGCAGAGTAGAGACCCTGGTCGTCGATGTCTGTCAAGTCTGCATGCCAGCGTTGCATATCATCTTGACGGTATCGAAGATGGGAGTTGGTCGATTCCAGTGGAATCTTCTCTCATGAAGTGTAAATGCTGCCGCCACCTGCATTTCCCATAGGCTGCAGCCTTGAGTTGAGCTCAACTCCAAATCCAGCCACACAGCTGTCGAGGTGGAATTCGCTCTGGTACAGGCAGGAATCTATCAACATCTGCGATAGCATGGACGCATTTCGAAACGGGGTCTGATACACGCTTTAAATAAATGAATCCCCTATAAAACGAGAAAGGTCCCGGGTATTGTAATTCCACGTTTCCTTAATAGACTCACCCCCATTTTTTTTTAGTATACGAAAAAAGACCTTAGGGTCCTATATCCGGGCGTTTACGGTATGTTAGGATACGTGAACGAATTACCGTATTCCCCCGTATATAACACCCTAGGGTATTGTCAAAAAAAAAAAAAAAAAAAAAAAAAAAAAAAAAAAAAAAAAAAAAAAAACGTATGGGTGTTAACAGTAGGCTGGAAAAATATAACGCCCATGTCTTATGTAAAATGCAAAATGAATTTGGGTTGTAACAGGCACTCTGAGGCCATAACTTCACTGAGCATCTGCTAACGAGGAATCTGCTACAAAGATTGCACAGTCCGACAGGGTCAGTTTGGTGCCTCTGAAAACGGTGGGAGATTGATGCAACAGCAGTGCCAGGTGTCATTGACCAATCTCGTATGAGTGCTGTGAACAGAGTCACGACCATTGCTTTCGCGATCGAGGTGGTTCAACGGCAAGATGGACGATCGAGATCCATTCGACACTTTGTTGTCTTTCGATTTCGTTTTGCCACTTGTGTTGGTTCCTCTGCCCCTCTTTGCGTTGCGAATGGCAGCTGACGCGATTTTCATCCTGCTCGTTTTTTTGCAGCTGAGTGAACCTTGGTAATGAAGGACCAAAGACTGTTTAAAGGCAAGAAAAACGAGCAGGGTGTTATGTAGAATGCAAACCCAGAAAAACGGGTACTCTAAAAAATGCGCCATATCATAAGCTATCCCCCGCATATGCCACCCATGAGTTGACTATTTCGGCGGGTCTTATATACAGGGGATTACGGTACTAGAAGGGAAAACATGACACATTTAGCAGTTGGGTTGTACTCATTAGGAGCACACTGTCAAACATGTGTATCTACTATGTTTGTATAGACTGTATAGGGGCACCTCTTAGAGGGTACAACACTTAGGTATATTCACCTGTACTCTCCCCCTACTCATCATTCAGTTCTCATTCTAACATGGTATCACGCGTAGGTTAGGATCCCCCACCTACCGCTTCCGCCCGTACCCTAGCTAGGCCCCGCCGCTTCCCCCTGGGCCCCGTCGCGCCCCCCGCCTAGCCCCGTCGCGACCTCCTAGCCCCGTCGCGACCCCCTAGCCACGTCGCGCCCCTCCTGGGCCCCGTCACGCCTATTGGCCCCGTCGCGACCCCCTAGCCCCGTCGCGACCCCCTAGCCCCGTCGCGACCCCCTAGCCCCGTCGCGACCCCCCTAGCCTCGTCGCGACCCCCTAGCCCCGTCGCGACCCCCCTGGGCCCCGTCGCGCCCCTAGCCCAGTCGCGCCCCTCCTGTGCCCCATCGCGCCCCTCCAGGGCCCCGTCGCGCCCCTCCTGGGCCCCGTCAAGCCTTTAGGCCCCGTCGCGCCCGCTCGGCCCCGTCGCGCCCTGCCCGGCCCCGTCGCGCCCTGCCTGGCCTCGTCGCGCCGTGCCCGGGCCCTGTCGCGCCCTGCCTAGCCCCGTCGCGCCCTGCCTGCCCTGCCACGCCTGCCTGGCCCTGCCGCACCTGCTCAGCCCCTGCGCCGTTCCCAGCCGGCCCCGCGCCCGTCCCGTCGGCCTGGTGCCCGCTGCTTCTGGCCCCGAGCTTTGTGCGGCACGCTCGTCGTCCCTGCCCCGGCCCTGCATCCTCCTGGTACGGTTCCCCATCCCTG